GTGGTTGTGTCTGTTTGAGAGTCGGCCATGCAGGTACTTGGGGAAATCAGAGAGGGTGTTGGATCCCTTGGAGCTGGAGGTAAAAGGCAGCTAGCTGTGAGCTCTCCAGTGTGGGTCTTGAGAACCGAACTTGTGTCCTCGGGTAGAACAGTAACTACTCTTGACACCTCTCCAGTCTAGACATGGTTCTTATTGTTACTAATTCTATGTGTGTCCTTGTTATGGTGTGAATATTAATGTGCCCTCACCCAAACACATGACACCAGGCTAATGTTTTGAATGCTTGGTCAAGATTTTGGAATGCTCTAGTAATTTTAGTAGGTGAGATCTAGCTGGATAGACTAGGTCACTGGGGATAGGTATTTTTTTAGGGTGGCTCGTTCCTGGCCCCTTTCTGTCTCTAATTCTTATTTTCCTTTGGCCATGAAGCATCATACTCTTTTCTACCACATACTTTTGCCCCCCGTAACATTCCTGCCACCAAGTGTGTAGGCCCAAACAACTGAATGAACCCTCTGAAAACATGAACCAAAATATGTAATTCTTCCTTTAAGTTTTTTCTCTTGGGTGCTTCTGTCATAGTGATACAGTCCTAGATATTTATTGATATTTATAGTGGTTTGCATCTTCATAAAGTAAGGGAAGGCAGGAGTGTTATGCACTCCGTGGCGCATGAAATGGCAGGGTGTCCAGGAGAAGCATCCATGAGCCTCACCGGTAGGCAGGGAGGGCGCTAGAGCAGCGGTAATGACGTCAGGTTCTTTCCCTTTCATAGAGTCTGTCATTTACTTAGAGCGCCACTTGCTGGGGTAGTTATTTTTATGTTTTGGCTGGGCCATGGGGTGCATAGATATTTGGTCAAATATTTTCCTGTGTGAATCTGTGAGGGTGTTGTAGGATGAGATGAACTTATGGTGTGGTACAAGTCTCTGCTGGTGCCACATTTGCTGCAGTTCTCTTGGCCAATGCAAGTGACAAGGCCAAGTTCAGAGGCCAACACTATGGTGGCAGGGAAGCATGGCAGCAAGAACCAGACACAGTGCTAGAACAGTGGCCAGCCCACATCATGAACCGCAATGAAGAAACAGAGAGAGCAAACTCTGGGCCCAGTGATTCACTTCCTCCAGCAGGGCCATACCTCCTAACCCTACCCAGAAGGGCCACCAACCGGACCAAGCTTCATTCACCACAGGGAGCTCATCCCTGAGTCTCCCTCGCTTAGCAGCCGGGAATTGCCTATAGCTCTTCATCTAGGAGTTGGCATTGTGAGATTTTCCCATCCACTTGTTGCATGTTATATATATATATATATTTGGTTTTTCGAGACAGGGTTTCTCTGTGGCTTTGGAGGCTGTCCTGGAACTCACTTGGTAGTCCAGGCTGGTCTCGAACTCACAGAGATCCGCCTGCCTCTACCTCCCAAGTGCTGGGATTAAAGGCATGGGCCACCAACGCCTGGCTTGCATGTTATATTTATGGAGAGAGTTGTGTATGTAAAACGATAAAATATTTAAAGACGAGGTCGTGAATTTGAGGAGGAGTGGCAAGGCCATGGGAGGAACTGGAGGTGAGAGAGGGAGAAGGAAATAATGTAAATACAGTACTCACGTATAAAGCTTTCAAAATAAACTAAGTGTTAAGAAAAAAGGGGCGGTTTGAAAGAAAACGGTTCCCATAGGCCCATAGGGAGTGGCACTATTAGGAGGTGTGGCCTTGCTAGAGTAGGTGTGGCTTTTTTTGGAGGATGTGTATCACGGGGGTGGGGGGGCAGGCAGGCTTTGAGGTCTCAGATGCTCAGGTCAGGCCCAGTGTGGCATTCTCTCTTTCTGCAGCCTGTCAATCTGGATGTAGAACTCTCAGCACCATGGCTACCGGCATGCTACCATGCTTCCTGCCATGACCATAATGGACTAAACCTCTGAAACTGTAAGCCAGCCCCAATTAAGTGTTTTCCTTTACAAGGGTCGCTATGGTCATGGTGTCTCTTCACAGCAATAGGAATCCTAACTAAGATAAAACCTTTGTGCAGGCAAGGGTAAGTGAGTCCACGAGAACCCAAATAAAAGGATATCAAATATTTATTGAGAGTACACTCACAAATAGCAATAAGGTAGAGAGTCGACACTGTCTTCTGTTCTGCCTTGGGATCAATGGAAGCTGCAGTCAGATCTCCAACCACCACACAAGAGAGGGAGAGAAACACCTTCTCTTCCTCATGAGATCATGTCTGCACACAGAAACCACGCTCTAGGACTGGTCCCCCAAAACTATTGATGGAATGAATTCCCAAAACGCCTTTAAAACCCAGAAACAGCACACACCCACACCCACACACAATTACCTTGAGTTCAAAGAGTTCCAGCCTCAACATTCTGAGGAAGCACCATTTTTCCTAACACAAAATGGGGGAAGAGAGCGGTGTGTGGAGGGGAGGCGATACACACCCCTTGCTTTGTTCAAGGCCCACATTCTGGCTCTCTTTCTAAATTTCGGCAGCCAAGGAGCCACCTTGGCGTCTCTGCATTTTCAACAAGGTAAGGTCTCACGTAGAGCGCTGGCTCCAGAAAAGGGGAAGACCCCAGCTGCACTGGGAAAAATGAGGGGAAGAGTTAATAGCACGGAGGGAAAGCCAGCCAGCAGCCAAAGGCAGGATTAGCAAACTCTTCCCAACGCGGGGGTATCCGGATTCTCTGCCAACAGCTTCCCGCCCTGGGTGCCTCCCCGAGAGAGTTACATGCCTGACGATGCCGCCCTTCGGTGTTCTCAGGTCTCCCGGTGAGCAAGGATCCAGAGCTAACAGAGAAGGCCCCGTGTCTCCAGCTGACCACATCCTACTGCCTTGGTCTAGCCCAAGACTTGCCTGGCCTTGGCATCTTTAAAGATGCTCTCAAGCAGCCTCCCCACTATTGGAAGCTGCGGATACATGGATGCGATTACTGGTGTCTTAAACTATCTGAGTTTCAACACACTGTTCCCTCATACCCCACCCTCTGCTCAGCGCTATTCTCTTTACTCGGTATCTTAAGGCTGCCATCGCTGTGGTAAAACACCACAGCTAAAAGAAAGTTGGAAGGGAAAGGGTTTATTTCAGCTTAAGACTCCTGGGTCACATTCAGTCACTGAGGGAAGTCAGGGCAGGTACTCAAGGCAAGGAACCAGGAGACAATAACTGCAGCAGAGGCCATGGAGGGAAACTGCTTACTGGCTTGCTCAGCCTGCAAAAGCGATTCAGGACCCTTTGCCCTGGAGTGGCAACATTCCCAAATTCCTTCTCTTATGAATTCTGAATACGGTTGTCATCTCTGGCATTCCCTTACTGATTTGCTTGGAAAGTATCTTTCCCTGTGTTTCACTCTAGTGTTTGCATGACAAACATATTTTTCATGCTTTGGAATTATTCTTTGACAGACCCCAAATCTACAATAAGCCACTTTTCTCAGTAGATTGCCATTGGCAAAGTCTCTCCATTACAAATGCTGGTTAAGTTATTGCAAACACACATAGAGTTTGTTTTGCATTGTTATAACTTCTGCAGGAGGAGAGCAAACAGTCTAGTCTTCCCAGTTAGGGGGAGCCAGACCCCAAGGCAATGAGGTTGGAGAAAAACCCCTTGTCAGAATCTGTACCTACTAGAAAAAGGAATAAGAAGCAAGGCGAGCCTAGCAGAGAGATACTTTGTGTCCTTTACAGTTAAGAGCAGCAAGATAATGAAGGAAGGTAATTCTGAAAGCTTTATGTCAGTTTTAATGGTCCCTCAAGCACTAAAACAGCTAATAGTCTATGGATAGTGTCCATAAGGATTTTTTCCTCCCTCTCCCTTGACAACCATCGGCAGGATCATTTTGCATTTGTAACTGCTGTCACTGAAGTGTGGAGAAAAAGCCCTGCAAGCCAGAGGATGAGGATCTCTATTGTCATCATTATATGGCAATAATAGTTACCAAGTTTTTTTTGTGGAGCTTACGGCTATAGATTTGGGTTTCATAAAATCACACTAGCATAAAACCATGCTCTGTAGTCCTGCAAGAAGAACATTTATAAAATGTAAAAAGAACTATTCAACAAGATAAAAATAATTACCAGTGCAAGTCACCTGACTAATACAATTATTTATGGGACGCTAAGAGCTCTTCAGAGGCATTCAGATACACTGTAGTTGGATTCACTCTCTTTCCTTCTCTCCACCCCCCCACGGTAAGTCTCCCTCCCCCGAAGGACCAGGCTTAGAGTTAGCCAGGAATGTAAATTAACTGCAAATGAGCTTTCAGAAGCCCTTTGGTGGTTTCTCTTCATTATCCACCAAGAAAGCAAAAGGAGAGGGTCAGGTCTTCTAAGTCCATCACATCCTCACCTTCTCCTACTGTGCTCTGCATAGCACTAAGTTTCAACTTTACTAGCTTTCCTACTGACAGAATTAGGGATGCCAAGCCCTTCCTATCAACTTGACACAGGTTACAATCATCAGAGAGGAAGGCGCCTCAGTAGAGGAAATGCCTCCATGAGATTCAGCTGTAAGGCATTTTCTCAATTAGTGATCAATAGGAGAGGACCCAGCCCCTGGTGGGTGGTGCCCCCCTGGGCTGGTGGTCCTGGGTTCTATAGGAAAGCAGACCGAGCAAACCATGGGGAGCAAACCAGCCAGCAGCACCCCTCCAGGCCTCCGCATCAGTTCCTGCCTCTAGAATCCTACGGTTTGAGTTCCTGTCCTGACTCTCTTCAGTGAAGAACAGCAATACGGACGTGTAAGTCAAATAAAACCTTCCCTCCCCAACTTGCCTTTTGGTCATGGTGTTTTGTCGCAGCAATCGAAATCCTAACTAAGACACTTCCAAAGTTTGATGGTGTAGATGAAGCAAGACTGAGATGCTTATGTGAAAGTTATCAAATGTGAGACGAACAAGTTCTAAGGCAGATAGTTGGAGACAAAGAAAGGGGGTAGAAAGGGAGATAAGAAACACAAGCAAAAAGGAACAAAACTAGCTACTGAACCTACTGAAGAGAGGAAAATAAAAGAAGCAGCAGGGAAAAGTAGTGCAAAAGTGATGGCCCACAGAGAGACCCGACAGACTGAGCGAGCACCCAAGAATGGGACTACAATCCCCAGAAGTCTTAGCGGCGCCTCAGGCCAGGACGTCAGTCTCCTAGGCAACGCATGTAAACAAGATGGCGGCCTACGAGAAAGGTCCCTCCAGAGGGAAAGCGCCCTCTCTCCAGGGAGGCTTGGGCGCCTCTCGAGCAGTAATCCAGGCAATACTGACGCTCGCAGCAAAACATCGTCGGACACCATGGCCTCCTTTCCCCATGGGACAGAAATCGAAAGGGACTTTCAGAAGCGCCTCCTCCTACCTCCTCCACCAGCTCATCCACCGCTCTCAGGAAGCGGAGGTGGACCATCAGGCCGAAGAGGAATCCGAGGAGTCCGAGGAGTCAGAAATGCAGAATTTGGAGGTGTGTCCCACCCGCACCCTCACTCCAGTCCCGGGCTCCCTCCGGCTGCCAAGCCTGGCCGCCTCAGATGCCGCTGGCTCCTGCGCCTGTGTCCCCGGCTGGGCCCCCTCCTTTCGGCCAGGCTCCCCTTCCCCAGACAGCCTTCCTTCGCGGCTCGTTTCTGTCCTCCAGTTTCTGGTGATCTCCTCCTCCTGCCTGGGGGCGAGGGGGTGGGGAGCCGAAACCCTCCAAATGTCTGCTTTCTTTTCCTGGTTTCCTATGTATCAGATTACACGCTGCCACTGCGAAGGAATAACCTGTGTGTTTGTATAGAGGTTATGGGTTTAACGCTTTCAAAAGTACCCCTTGACAAAGTTACTACCTTAGTAGCAAGAGGCAAGAGTCGGTTTTTGATATCCCCAGCATGTATCTCCAAACTCTCCAAACTGAAGTGCTCCGCACTCTTCCAGGTTTGGGCTCATCGTCTTCCTCCCTCCGGGGTGAAAAATAGCTTTTTTTTTTTCTTTTTCTTTTTTCTTTTGAAATAATCTAAACTCTCCGTCAAAGACCAAATAACTGAAAAGTTCTATATATTACTTCTGCGAAGGGTATATGCCAGTTAAGGCACTCCCCACAATTCCTGGTCAAGAAGGGAGAGTTCAGAGAGTCAGTGCACAGTCACTTATGAGCGGATTCGGGTTACGGGAGTATTCCCGACATTCCCACCTCCATCGCTTTTCTACGGTCTGTTTTCTACTCGCCTACTTCCGCTTCCCCTCAACCCTCGACTGTGTGCCCACACACTCAGCTGCCCTTTCTTACCCTCTTCTCCCTGTTCACCTTTCATTCCATTTCTTCTAAATCATAAGTTGATTGGTTCCCCTCCCCCACAGAGTGAGGCTTTTCTCTGTTTTAGCTACTCAGAATCGATGTTTTTTCTTAATTTCAATCTTTTACCTGTGTGTCGGATCCCCTTCTTTTCTTTTCCTTCAATTTCTTGGCGCCTGCGTGTCATTTCCTAGTCACCTTTCTCCCTGGTGTCAAACATCTCTCTCCTGGTTCCTGCTTGCTTGTACAAGCTCCTTCTCTGGCTTGTCTTACTTCTGACTCTTCCCTGTGTAGCCTCCTGTGACTCTAATTCTTCCCTTCCTTAGGCCCTTTTGTCCGCTTTGACTATTTGGCCGACCCCCCCCCATCTCTCATTTTGTCTTTCTTTTGATACTTCTCTCTTTGTGATCTGGTTACATTCTAATTTCGCTTGAAGTTGATGGTAGAAGTGTACCAGAAATGGTGGGTCTACCTACACTCCCTGCACTGGGAGGCAAAGATAGGAAGGTTGTCCCGAGTTAGAGGTCATCCTGGTTTACGTAGCCATTGGCTGTGAACCTTGATGATAGAACCACACTGTGAGACCCAGCCTTAAAAATAATAGTAATAATAATAAAAGAATAAAAAACGAACTTAAACAAACAAACAAAAAGCCATCATTTATTTTACTCTTCCTTTGTTGGTTAATTTTGCTACCTGCGGTTTGTGACTACCGCAAACGGTAGTAGTGTTTTTGCTCCTTTGAAATGTTTGTATGGTTTCCACCACCCTCTACCCCAGAGGAATTCACAAATGAACCACCAACATACTTTATGATTCTAATTAGCACAGGCTCCTTGGCTATGGGTTCATTAGAGCCATCGTTAATGTGTCTTCAGCACGTTATTAACAAGCCATAGAAGGGGCTGGTCAACTGGCTAGTCCTTGCTGGCTTAGGGAATCTGTTGAGGACAAGTTTATTACTTATTCCAGTTACATTCTAAATACCGATACTGGCTTTGGCTTTGCATGGTATTTGCTTAAGTTTTAAAATGTGGAATGAGCTGAAAAGTTATAAAGAAGCGTATGTTCATGTTGAGTGGTTTATTTCCCACATCTTACCCTGATTACCAGTAATAATGCGGTAGGTATAACCAACAATGCAGCCAGCTTCAAACTCCAGAAGCCCTAATGAATTTAAGAGAAGCAGTTGAGACCAGCTGTTTGGAGCTCTCCCTTTGGGATGAAAGACTTGTGGTTGAGATCTGGGTTAGCCTCTTGTTAGTAGCAAGATTTTGAATATGTTCCTTGTCTTGTCTAGAACTCAAAATACCAGTTTGGTAGTCCTCCTTGTCTCATAGGGTAATTAAATGACATCCTGTATGTAAAATGCTTAGCATGGGGCAGGTGGGAGGGCTTTACAGGTAAAGACACTTGCTGCCAAGCCTCCTGACCTGAGTTCAAGCCCCTTCACCCACTTGATGGAAGAAGAGACTTGACTCCCCAAATTTGTCCTATGACTTCCAGACATGTGCCATGGTGTGTGTGCATGTTCGCAAACACACATACAAATAAACATTTAATAAAATTTCAAATATAGTCCTGATACTTTAATAGTAACTCATGTTTTTAACTGCTACCTATAACTCATTAAGTGATTTTAACCTTATTGAACAAACATTTATGGGGTGATTGCTTAATAGAATGTTTTTTATTACGCATTCTTTCTTTGACCATGTCTTGGCCCAAAATTTGGCACAGGAAAACCACCCTATTGCCAGTAACTCAAGATGAGCAATCATGCCTATTCATTGGGATAGTTATAGACTTCAAATTTAGTTTCCACCCAGTTTCAAACCAGGGACCTTTTGTATGTTAGGTAAACGTGATAACCACTACTCTACAGAACCCCATGACTTCAAATTTAGTAAGAGACTACTTCAGAGTTTTCAATATAGTAATAATCTGGCAGATAGCAGATTCTCAGAAGTTATAGACGTGATAAATAATAACAGCAGTTAAAAAAGAAGACGAAAGTGTGAAGACATGCATTGCGGTTCCTGCTCTCAGAATGGACACAAGAGTAAGTCAAGCAATTAGCACCTGAAGTGTCACTTAGGGAGTTAGGTACCGCTGCACTCGGGAGTTACAGGTAAGAGCAGACAAAGCGGCTGAGATGGAGCCAGGTTGTAGAGGGCTCTGCTCCGTGCAGGGCCACACACTTGATATTTTAAGTGGTTCTCTGCTAAGCAAGTAAATGTAGATAAGAGGAGAGTAGGGTTCTAGCAATATCTATAGGGGAGCAGCAGGAGTCTGGAGTAAGGGACTGCCTGGGAATACAAAGTAGGTTAAAGAGGGTCTTACTGTGTGGAGCCTTGCCTTGGGGAGCTGAGAAAATGCTGGCAGTTGTGCACACCCTGATACCCACGGCTATGGTGACAAGCAGGCCCTTCCTGCTAGAATAAGTACGGAATGGAGTGGAGTGGGGTCAGATGACCTGCAGAGCTCTAGGTGGGGAGTTGGGGAGGGAGGCAGCATTGCCGATGGCCCACTGCCTCCTAGGGTTTACATAGGACATTGGCACTTCATGTACAGGCATGAATGTCCTCCCTGCTTGTGAGCAGTGTGGCAGCTAAGGGACATTGGCACACAGTACATTTATTGAAACCATCGATGTGTTTCAGGCACTGTGCCAGGAGCTTTCTGCATATTATTTGTTTCACTCTCCTTAAAACATTAAAGGAAGGGATGGGAGAGAAACGATGACCTCCCTAGTCTTCTAACTGCCGTAGCCGGACTTATGAAACAAAGTGACAGTGGGCAGATTGACATAGATGAGGGGTTTGGGTATGTTGATTTTTAATATTACATGCCTTAGGGTTATCATAGGAAAAGATTAAAAAAACTATCACTGGCTCGGTGGTGATGGTGCATGCCTTTAATCTCAGCACTTGGGAGGCAGAGGCAGGTGAATCTCTGAGTTTGAGGCTAGCCTGACCTACAAAGCAAGTTCCAGGACAGCCAGAGCTACACAGAAAACCCCCCTTTGGAAAAAACAACCCCCCCCCCGAAACAAAACTAAAATGGCCTTTACTATTTGTTTTTTGTGGTGGTCTCCATCTTTGCAAACAGAAGTTTCCTTGGTGAGGGGTGAAGACTATAGTTATCTGTGGGCATAAGGGCAGATGTTTATAGATTGTTATTAGGGGATATGCTGGCTTAGTAAATTGGTGGTTGTAGATTTTCCTCCGGTAACCACACCTCCAGGAGCACTGAGTAGTTGGTTAGAATTCCAGTGGGGATGCAGAGATGGCTCAGGTTAAGAGCTCTAGCTGCTCTTCCAGAGGGGCCAGGTGTGATTTCTAGCACCTACATTGTGGCTCACAACCATCTGTAACTCTAGTTCCAGAGCATCCACAGCCCTTTCCTGACTTCTACAGGCACCAGGCATGTATGTGGTACACAGACATACATGCAGACAAAACACCCATACAGACAAAAATAAATAAGTACACAGGTAGAAAGAATATATATATATATATATATACATACATACATACATACATACATACATACATACATATATATATATATATATATATATATATATATAAAGTGTTACAGGTCCTGGAGAAATGATTCAGCAAATAGAGCTGCTGTTCTTGTAGAGGACCCTGGTTTGGTTCCTAGCACCCAATTGGTGGCTCACAACTATCCAACCATCCATAACTTGTGTTCCAGGGCTTCCATCACCCTCTTCTGTACCCCTTGGGTATTGGATGCACTTGGTGTGCATACATATGTACAGGCAAACCACTCACACACATGAGATAAATAATGTTAAAATATCGATTACAATTATTTATTCATGCGTGTGCCACACATGTGGAGGTCAGAGGGCAACTTGGAGGAATTTACTCTCTTCTTCTGTCATGTGGTTCTGGTGACTAAACTCAAGTCCTTGGGGCTGGAGGCAAGTGCCTCCACCTACTGAGTCATCCTGCTGACCTGGAAAATTTTTGTATGGGAGATTTGAGAGCTTACACATCGTGTTAGCAGGGGAAGGAAGGGTAGAGGGAATGTAGGCCACTTAGGAGGGTGGGGACAAATGCTTTTATGGAAAGATATGAGAGCTCTTAGAATAGATGGGCACTAGAGGTTGTGACAAAGCTCGCCTCACTGTGGTGTCAGCCTCTCTTCGCTCCTGTGGTAAGGGTCAATCTCCTCCAGCTGATGAAACTCCTGGGGAGGGGATTTATACCAGTCGAGTTCCTTTTGAAGGATCGGCCTCTCTGTAGATAAAAGCAGTTCAGAGAAAGCCTCTCCTTCATTGCTGTTTTCTTTTTTTTCAAGTGCCTTCAGCTCAAAACAATCAATATTCCAAAAGCAGCCTACTTTGGAGGGATGGTGTGTCTAGATCTCCTTTAAAGAGAAACATACTTTCTGTTTAAAGGTAGAGGAACGAGGCTCAGAAAAAGCTTTACCTCCCCCAAGTCACGTGCAAGAGGTGGGATTCAAACGGTCTCCATGCAGGCAATCTTCCCTGGGGAGAAAAACTCTTAGAGCAGCAGGAGTCTCCATACTTACTTCCTCAGGACCAGCAACCCAGACGTCATTCTTGGCTCCTAGGTTAGTAAAGAACTAAAGAGGAGACGCTTTCCCACCACAGTTCACGCGCTCTTCATGGTTAAGTATCGAGTATATCAGTCTGTCACGATGACTGTGTTCTCTGCCATCATGTGGATGCCAGTGCCATGCTGGCCATTGCAGAGTTCAAGGCAGTGGCCATGCAACATACACACTGCTATGTTGTCTCTTCTGTCTGCCATCACTGGGGAAGAGCCATGCCCATCCATTGACTTTAGACCAAGGACAAACCTCCCATGAAATCATCTTGTAGATTAGATGGATCTGACAAAAATAGATACAAGAAAGTGAACTGAGGACTTGATTTGTTCAGCAAGAATACCAGATTTCGAGACAGTATTGTCTACATTTGACATAACCATCCTTAGAGATGTGGGCGAGCAGCCCAATGCAGAATCAGCTTGGGTTAGACAGACTGAGTTTTCATTCCAGCTCTGTCACACGCTGTCACGCCATTTGGAGCAGGGTCACCTCTAAGCCTTGGTTGCTTCATCTGTAAAACAGAGAATGACTACTCCAGGGTTACTTTGAGAGAAGAGCTCCTACACGGGGCCACTAGAACTGATGTTCCTACGGCCACTGTCTTCTCTCATCATCGATTACCGCACGCAAGTGACCCCCTGAAAAGTCAGTGGCAGCAAGACATGACTTTGGTGGGCACTTACTCAACTGCGTATAGTATGTGATGTCTTCCTTCAGCCTTTTCCCTGGGAGCCGGGTAGGGACAAAGCGGATGGTCGCCTTTCTAATGCGAGCTCTCTGCCCACCGTATGCTTTCTGCAGGAGGAGTTTGACGGGATCCTGAAAGAGGAGATCGTGGCGGAAGCACTCAGTGGATTGGGGTGGTCAGGCCCTGGGACGGAGCAGGTTTACCTCAACCTAAATTTATCAGTGAGTATGACGGGGTCGCCGCAGGCTGGCAGCATGGACAGATCACGTTCGTTTTCTTTGGTACTCGTGACTTTTGTAGTGGCGCTAAACTTCAGGGCCTCATGTCTGATGGAGGTTAGTGATGAGAGACGAGTGTGTAAATGCTAGGCTTCAGAGAGCCTCGGCCATCAGAGTATCAGCTCCCCAAATTCCTTTGTTTTCCACTCTCTTTGTGCTCTCTTTCATCCTAAGTAGTCTATATTATAGTAATCAATGCTTTCTTCAGGAGCTTGAACTTGGATCTGTAAAACCAATCAAAACTCTGTAAGAATTTTCCCTAACTTTCTATCTGAGTCCCAGGGAGCCAAGTATTCTGATACCGATTTTCCCCTTACATCGAGAAATAAGTAGCTTTGGGCTATCTTTTATTTTCATTAGGTTCCCATCATTAGAGCAAAAGAATCTATTGTCATTCTTCAGTCTTCAAGACCTCAGTCCTGGTCCAAGAGCAGCAGAGAACCATGGTTCAGCTTTGGCTGTGAGGGGTAAGAGCTGAACACCCACAGCTCAGCTTCTCTCCTAGGAAAATAATCTAACTCCTTTTGCTTCCATTAAAAACAAAAAGAACTTGAGGGGCTGGGGAGCCGACTCAGTGGGCCAAGTGTTTGCCGTATAAGTGTGAAGGCCAGGGTTCGGATCCCAGGCATGCTGGCATGGCAACCTCGTCTAGTTGAAAAGGAGAGCACCAGGTTCTGTGGGAGATGCTGCTTCAATACAGAAGGTGAAGGAGACAGCGCCACAGCTCACGCGCGCGCACACACATGTGCACTGATTACACACATGTGCACCCACACCTGTACAGTATACACTTTTCTTTTAAAAGCACACTGAAATTTTACTATGGCTTCATCATTTGGCTCACTCCTGACTGGTCTAATGCATTGTAAGGATGTTCTGCTTTGGATTCGAACTAGTAAAATATCCAAGGACTACTGAGGTGTTGTCACCTGTGCTGACTTCATAGCATGTCCTTCAGGGTCAGCATACCAAGGCCATGCCTCTCCATCCCTGTGGTTGTCATTGGCACTGAGGAGTACCCTGTTCACACAGCACTGTGTAAGACATTGAGGCAGTGTAATTCTAGCAGCCAGCACAGCTACATGAAGGTCCATTTCAACCCATAGTCTACTTATGTATGTAGTGCTGTGCCTTAAACTGATCTGCCAAAAAAGCAATCCTGTAAATCTTATTTCAGCCAGAGGGATGGAACTTAACTTATTTTGCCACTGACCTCCTTACTGTTGAAATATTATGTGCTGTTACTTGGCCTCAATAAACTGTCTCACTGAATATACTTCTGGTTCACTGATTTTTTTCCCCTCATAGTTTACTTATGCTACACATAATAATAATAACTACTATTATTATTATTTATTTTACTTTCTCTAATTACCTGTGCATATATCTTCTCCTCTGCCAAAGTCCTAAATTCTTAAAGGCAAAGTTCTCAATAAGCACAGTGATGCACACAGTAGGCCCTCTTGCACCAGCCCACATTAAACAGCCATCACTGCCCTACATGAGAACTTTCTGTCAAATGACTCTTTATTAGGTATCTTTGGCTTTGTTTACGGCCTGTGACAGAATGACAGAAATCTTCATCCCATGGGATCAGATTGCCTCCTAACTACACTTGAACTCTCATGAGTCCTGTTTTCTGGCAGGAATTCCCCTTCCCCTCCTCTCTCCCCCTTCCCTTTCCCCTTTCCCTCCTCTCCCCCTCCCTTCCCTTCTCCTTCTCCTTCTCCCTTTGGCGGCTCTGTAGTTCATTTTGAGATCCCATTAGTAGCAGGCCTTAGATTTTATTCTCTTGCTTCTACACGTTGGAAAGAAACAATGGCGTTGTTTCCAGATGTTGCGTGAAGGCTCACACGAACACTGTAAATGTCATATTAAAGCCTTCTCCATTTTCTCCCTCTCAGAACTACGATTTAGTCGACATCAGCATCCTGTGTGGCTATGTTCACCTACAGAAGTTGAATCTTTCTTCAAACAAAATTGAAGGTACGTGATTGCCAGCCGAGTGGATTGATCACTGAAATAGTGCAAAAATGTACAGGCTAGAGAATTTAATGTGGTTTAATAATACTGAGCTTGATATAAGTGATTTGTAGGTCCACTTGCATATTGGACTATTGCTTTCTGTGGAGAAAGAGAGAGACAGAAAAAGGGGGGACAATGAGCCATAAATGAAGAGAAGACGGGTAGATCTTCAGTGTTTTGATACAGTTGGGGTGCATCCAGGGAGCCCCACAGGGGTTGGTACTTGCAGAATGTTTGATGACACCCTTTTTTCATCTAGTTATTTATCTCAAACGAATTGGCTTTCCCCACCCCCTCATGGACATTTTACACTAACGTTTCATCTTAGCTAGCTCCTTCTATTATTGTCTAAGTACCAGGGCTTCATGGTGTCAGCCCTGGTCCCCATCTCTGTGTGTTTAGCTGATTCTTCTGGCTACATCCTCTGAAATTCTTTTTTTTTTTTTTTTTTGGTTTTACGAGACAGGGTTTCTCTGTATTGTTTTGGAGGCTGTCAGTCCAGCCTGGCCTCGAACTCACAGAGATCCGCCTGCCTCTGCCTCCGGAGTGCTGGGATTAAAGGCGTGTGCCACCACTGCCCGGCCTGAAATTCTTTCTACTTGTCATGATGCCTTCCTTTATCACACTTAATGAACGTACCCTGCAATTGCCATGTTTTCTTTAAAGCCTGGTCCTCGTTTCGGATTTTCTGATCTTATTTGATGTTAAAACTATACATATTTTTCTTTAGGCTTCTAGAGACACAACAAATACTTATTTCTGGTCTGCTTTCTCCACTGAGTATCTTTCTGCTTGCTTCTTTCACCCGCCTTCAAGAAGACCTTGATGCCACTGATAATGGTCTCTCAATTTCATTTTCCAATTCCCCTCATCGGACCCTAATAATTAAACTCCATCCCTCTCATGCAGGCAAGCTTGTATCCAATCCAAATTCCACTGTTGGAGAGATCATTACATTGTTTCCTATTTTTTATGAACTCATTTTAGAAAATTGCAAACATGAGCAGAGAAAATTCCGGAATGAATACTGAGGCTCAGCAGCAATAGGTGGGGGCAGTCTTGTTCTATCTGCACCCCTACACCGTCCCTCTTTCTCCACGTTACTTCAAAGCAAACCTCAAATCATGCGATGACCCAGCCACCGGGAAGGCATTTAAGCTGTCACCGGCAGGGGTGCTCTGCCCACCCCACAGCTCTGAGGTTGGTTTTCACTCGCACTGAATAAAAAATTGCAGCCTCGATGCTCAGTGCCAACAGCAAGCAGAGACTTAGCTTCATAGCCTGACACTCAAGGTACTGCAACTCAAAGTCCTCTCCACACAGGCCACTCCTCCTGGGTTCTGTATCATCAGGAGCCTTGGAGTCTGCTGTGTGTTGGTACGGCAGTATGTTTTCCTTTGGGGGGATGTCAGCCTTATGGGTGTCCTGAGGTAGCCACATTTCAACTTTCAACAGAATCACTGTGTGTAGTTGGGGGCTGTTAGCACACAGACTGCTGAATCCTTCCCTCAGAGTTTCTGACTCAGTAGAACTGGGGTAAGGGTTGAGAATTTACATTTGCAGTAAGTAAGGGTAAGGCTGATGCTGCTGGTCCAGAACCTTTGGTGTAGACATAAGACGCTTCTGCCATCTGGTGGACAAAGAGGTTACTACACCAAGGAGGGACTACATGGATTTTAGCAACCCAGGGACTGTCTCTATCACAGTGATTTTTAAAACCTTAGCTATGTACAGAGTATGAGATGTTCTTACCATCTCATTGCATCTGTCTAAATATTAGCTGTTGCTTCTACTTTAAAACAGATAACCATGCAGTTGGCATTAAAGTTGGACCCCAATAGGAGTTCAGGGGCTCAGTAGAAACGAATAGAAATGAAACCACTTCTAGTAGACATGCAGCTGAGTGCAGAATAGGTAGATGCAGGCTGATAGATATGGTCTGCTAAGCATCTGATGTCCCCATAGAATAGGTAGATGCAGGCTGATAGGTATGGACTGCTAAGCATCTGATGTCCCCATAGAATAGGTAGATGCAGGCTGATAGGTATGGACTGCTAAGCATCTGATGTCCCTATAGGTTTCGTTACACAGGCAGCCTTCCTTGATTGACCCATTGATTGCTACCAAAATGTTACTATCCCAACACGTCTCCTCTTTTAGAGATGTTCATAACTAAGCTACTGTTTAACAAGAGACCTGAAGTAGAAGTTGGTGGGAATTATCTACCTTCAGAGAGCCTTGATCCGGCATACTAATTACTTTTCTGTTTCTGTCATAAAATTCGTTGACCAAGGCAATATAGAAGTAAGAGTTTATTTGAGCTTATAGTTCCCGAGAGTTAGAGTCCATAATGACGACGGCATAGCCTCAGGCAGCAAGCAGCAGACACGGTGACTGCAGCTGGAAGCAGAGAGTGGAGAGCTTACGTCTAGAAGCCCAAACAGGAGGCAGGGTGAACTGGGAATGGTGTGTGGCTTTTAAAACCTCAAAGTCTGCCCCCAGTGACGTAATTCCTACAGCAAGCTATACCTACAGCAAGCTATACCTACAGCAAGCTATACCTACAGCAAGCTATACCTACAGCAAGCTATACCTACAGCAAGCTATACCTACAGCAAGCTATACCTACAGCAAGCTATGCCTACAGCAAGCTATGCCTACAGCAAGCTATGCCTACAGCAAGCTATGCCTACAGCAAGCTATGCCTGCAGCAAGCTATGCCTACAGCAAGCTATGCCTACAGCAAGCTATGCCTACAGCAAGCTATACCTACAGCAAGCTATGCCCAAGCATCACCCCCAGCTGAGGACCAAGCATTCAAGTGCCCAAGACTACAGGAACCATTCCTCATTCAAACCATCACAAAACGCAAGATGTCAGAGCCGTCGCTCACTGCCTGCCAGCCCTGCCCAAGACACGGCTGGCCCGCCGCCCTCTCCCAATCTGCAATTGTCGGTGCCGTTTGGCTTGGCCTGGCTTTACCTGTCACTGGCATGGCTATCCTGGTTCTCTGTGTTCTCCAGAATGAGAGAGAAAGGGAGTGCTTCCTCCAAACCACTTACAGGTGGTGAAATGAATTGCTTGCACCAACAACGTTAGAGCCCCTACTATGTGGATTCTGGTGCCCAGTGTGCGTCTGCTGTGAGGAGAGGGGGACAATGGCAAACCCTGCATCACAATCACAGCTCACGTGTGACGCCATGTGTGGTCTCTATTAGCACAGTGTTTTACTTAGCACCAAGTGGGGGCTTATCTGCTTGGGATAAAATGCAGAGCTCAGATGTGACTTCGAGCCAATCCAGAGTCAAAGCACTGTAAGAAGTCATGGATCTAAGTCACCTCAAATAATTAGTGAGATTAAGGATGACGTCCAACTAAGACAAAATTGAATTAGCAACAGAGTCCACTAACCGTGGTATTTCCAGCCTTCTGAAAAGGCCCAATGCAGTTAGATAGGAGCTAATCACCAAGAGGAGCAGCTAAGGAATTAGCTTTGCATCCTTCCCTGTAAGGCTGGTAATGTTTGAAGCCCTTAGGGGCGAGCAGATTGTGGGGAGACGAGTGGGAACGTGCAGGAGTCCTCAGCCAGACGTTACTCGGACATCCCAGAGATACAGGAGCTGGAAGAAGTGCGTAGACCCTGGGGAAGAAAGGGAAGTTATTGCCTCATAGAGACTTTCACAGCTTATAATGTGTCCGGCACTGTTAGGACGTATTAGAACAAAGTGCTTTTTGTGGTTCCTCTACTCCTCAGCTCCCCCACCTCCTCCTACATCCTGGAATCTGTTCTACACTTTAAAAATATTTCACACAGCACTAATTTTCATTAATTTGACTCAGATGCGCTTGCAATGGGCATACTTTAAAAAGTTATTCTGATATGGGCCGGATGTGGTAGCACCTTTAATCCCAGCGCTTGGGAAGCAAGAAGCAGGTGAATCTCTCTAAGTTCTAGGCTGGCCTGGTTTACAAAGTGAGTTCCAGGCCAACCAGGGCTGTATAGTGCAATCTTGTCTGGAAAAAAAATGTGTTCTGATGTAATGTGCTTAAATGACTTTTTCTAGTAGCTTGTTGATTTACCTTTTTCTGCCCCCAGAATTGTCTTGTGTGAGCTGCATGCCGTATCTTCTAGAACTAAATGCTTCCCACAACAAGCTGACTACCTTTTTCAATTTCAAGCCACCCAAAAATCTCCAGGTATACTTATCAATACACTAATCACTACGGTAAGTGGTTGCCACGGCGCTTATGCAAGGAAGAAGTCAGTGGGGATAAGGTGTAGAACTTGCAGTGAGGGTGTCTGAATGGGAATGCCGACAGGTGTGCCACTGAGACGCTCCACCACCGTGCAGCCCTTGGGAGATCTTTGCTGAAACCTCACATTCAAAGAACCGGCTTCCTTCTGTCCTCTTGGCCATATTTTATTTCATTTTCTTAGGTTAAAGAGAAGATCTTTGTGGACTATCATGTCTTTGGTTTGGGGAGGCAGGTCTTTCCACGCAGCTCAGGCTGGCCTCAAACTCCTGCCCTTCCTGCTGCAGCCTTCCGAGTGCTGGGAGTCCAGCCGTGCGCCACCCCATGCTGCTCCCCCCAAGCAGCTCCTTTGCGCTTATTTAAGTAGCAGTGGCGATGGCGTCCCTTTTGTTACAGCAGCGCGCTGTAACAGTGTAACAGCGGAAACAGTGGTAACGCATTTCCTCGGTGCAAACATTGTCCCCTTCCTTATTCAGCCTTTGCTTTTTAAGAAAACAATACTTTATTACTAATGAGCCGGCTCTGCCGGGACAGTAATTGTGGGCCAGCAATGCAGGCCCTTTCCGTGTCTGGCAGCTTTTGTTCCCTTTAGTGTTGGCCGGCAGTGCGGCCCAGGTGGGAGCAGCAGCAGGTCGCGCCCTCTGCTGTTGAGCTCCTGCAAGCCTTGTGTCTCTGACACTCGCATAGACTCTTGTGAAGCTTGGGAAGCCCGACCTCCAGAGCCTCTGGCGCAGCCTTTTGCAGGAGCTGGCAGTGTCCAGTAAGGTCCGGGTAGCAGATTCCTTCCAGCCTTTGACAGTGACTAGTGTCCGAGTTCCAGGGCCTTCAGCATCTGACTCTGGACCCTAAGGACTCAGCATCCCTCTGGAAGGAACTCTTGAGTGACAGTGGCCTCCTTCAGCCTCAGCGCACGGTCTTCCCCGGTCTCCCTGTCACCCTGTTCCTACTCTTGTCATTCTCTCAGGCTGCCCTGCTGCCTCCTCAGCTCTGAGCCAGACACCTCCTTTTGTAACTTGGCTCGTTAGCTGCGCAGCTGTTGTAACTGCTGTCACTTTGATGCTTCCACTGTCACCGCCGCTCTGCTCCTCTGTTTGCTGCCTTCTTCGTGTCACCAGCTCTACTACGCTACTACAGCAGGCAAAAACAAAAGCCACCCCAGAGAAGCCTTCTGTGGGGCCTACAGCTGTAAACACAGTGGCAAGAGCTAGGAAAAGGTCTCCTTGCCCCTGGAATCTGAACCTCCTGCTCACATAGCCAGAGAAGGGGGTGTTGGGCCAATCACAGCTCATCTTGCTTGTAGGTGAAGGTTTGCATTTGCGCCAATGAACAGCCTTTTTATTTTCCTATCAGGGTCATCAGGGATGTGGGCCTCCATGCACCTTGCTGGATGGTTGTAAGACCATGTAGAGTTCACAGAGACTTTGTGACGACAAAGAAAAAAAAAGTGAAATTGTCCAGACTGAGGCTGCGCCTTCAGGAGCTAGAGCGTCCAGTTATGACTGTTAGGTAGTTTTTGCAAGCTTCTGTGGGATGCTCAAAGTGCTGGTGCTGATGTCAGGGAGGCATGGCTGGCCAGATGCCTATCGTGTATTTTGCTCAAGGTGGCCAGGGGTATCAATGGAGAGTCTAACAGCTGCCAGTTAGGGGTCAGATTGTCTTATCCCCTACATCTTTTCTTATTTATAGGAAACCAACCCCCAGAAGGAATGCTTAAAATGAGAATTCAAAGATCTTGTGATTGACACGAACATGACTTTTAACAGAGGTTAACAGTGGCAAACCCCTGCCCAGCAGCCTAGAGAGAAGTCTGCACCTCCTCTGCCCCGTTCTGCACCTCCCAAGAGCTGGGATTAAAGGTGTGTGCCACCACTGCCTGGCTATATTCATATTTCTTAAAATGTTTTGCTCTTAGCTGGGCGTTGGTGGCACACACCTTTAATCCCAGCACTCAGGAGGCAGAGGCAGGTGGATCTCTGTGAGTTCAAGGCCAGCCTGGTCTACAGAGCGAGTTCCAGGACAGCCTCCAAAACAATACAGAGAAACCCTGCCTCAGAAAACAAACAAACAAACAAAACCCAAAAAACATTTTTGCTCTTAGCTGGAGAGATAGCTCAGTGGATAAGAGCACTTACTGCTCTTGCAAAGAACTTAAGTTCAATTCCCAGCTCTTCATGGTGACTCATAACCACCTGTTAGTCCCAGGGGGTCTGATACCGTCTTCTGGCCTCTGTGGGTACCGGCCGCACATGATGCAGGCAAACACTAACACATATAACTCAAACAACTGTTTTTTAATGCTTTGATCTTAGTAGGTAAACATGTTAATTTGATTTGGTGGGTGTTTTCTATAAGCTATAGGTTCCAATGGGAGTCATAGAGATAAAATAACACTTAAGATCTCTCAAAAACCCAACATCACTGGTACATGGAAGGCGTGATGTTGGCATACACAGCCTCAACAAAGGTGTATACAGATACTATGCTATGGTATAAGAAAAAAAACTGCTATTATACTTAAACCCTTTCAGTAAGTTCACTTTTAGTCAATCATCATTATATAAAAGCAAAAGAAAACAAAAAACCAAATGTTAGACTGCATCTACCATGCTGTGTTGGGCTGTTTTCACACCACGTGTTTTACATGTTGACCATGCATGTAGACCTAAGTTTCTGTTCAGATTTGTGTCACTGAAACCGTGTCTAATTTACACATTGCTGTTCTTTAAGGTGGCTTGTACCATTCCTTCCCAGGGTTTGTCAACTTGTGTCTCACCAGCCATGTAGTCTCCATCCCATCCCTGTCATTTTATAACTGACGTGACCAGTTGTCTGCTCTTGACTTCCAGGATTGATTGTAGGAAAGTATTGTCTTAGTAAGTTTGGGGGCAGTGCTGTTTTAAAGGGCACAAGAGGGACAGTGTCTATTCAGTATCTTCTGGACAACCTTCTGGAATGAGATTGTAGCATCCTCACTGATCCCATTACAGATGGTTGTGAGCCACCATGTGGTTGCTGGGAATTGAACTCAGGACCTCTGGAAGAGCAGCCAGTGCTCTTAACCTCTGAGCCATCTCTCCAGCCCAGCATCCTCATTGAGTGCTCAATATAGTGCTTCAAAAATCTTGGGTTTTCTTGCCCTTTTAAAAAACATATTTTGCTCTGGTAGATGAATTAAGCAAAGGTCTTTATTTAATTAGTCTGTTTTTAGTCTCATTCTAGACTAGGGTCAACAGATGTTGCTGAAAATGCCTATCTAAATGAGTCAATTTTGGGAAAGTACATTGTGGTGGTTTGAATGTACTTGGCCCCATAACATCATAGGGAATGGCACTGTTAGGAAGTGTGGCTTGTTGGAGGAAGTATGTCACTGTGGGGGCAGGCTTTGAAGTTTCCTGTGCTCAGGATTCTGCTTAATGTCTCAGTTGACTTCCTGTTGCCAGCAAGCTGTAGCACACTCAGCTCCACTACTGCATCTGCCTGCACACCGCCAGGCTCCCCATCGTGATGGTAATGGCCTGAACCTCTGAAACTGTAAGCCAGCCACCCTCAATTGGATGTTTCCTTTATAAGAGCTGCAGTGGTCATGGTGTCTCTTCACAGCAATAGGAAGCCCCGCTCTAAGACATATACAATTGAAGCTCTGCAGCCTGAGGCTAAGTAAGGACGGCTCTGGCGGTTAGGGGCAACATGGGAGACTCTCTGTGGAACAGAAAAATGAGATGTGCACATAAGGGAAGTGAACGCAGCCTATTGGGTGTTAGAGAAAATGGAAGTCATGGTGATATGGGTGACGCTGGTAAATCCAGCAGGACAACTTTGGAAATTTAAGACAAGAGTTGAAAATCCAAGAGTAGGTGGGGCATGGTGGCACACACCTTTAATCCCAGCACTTGAGAGAGAGGCAGGCAGATCTCTGCAGGTTTTAGGCCAGCCTGGTCTACAAGAATTTCAGGCCAGCCAGGGCTACATAGTGCGTGAGGCCCTGGAGAGAAGGGCAGGGAACAGAAAGGGAGGAACCACCTTGTGGGCCACAAAGAAGACTTCTCAGTTCTCTCTCAAGGTAGGAATGATAATGTCGTGGTTAGAAAAGGCAGAGAGATGTCTGGTTTGGCTCTAATGCATCTACAGCAATCAATTGTAAGTTTACATCCAGAAACATCTTCTTGTTTCTTTTGCTATTAAACACTAGTGAGCCTGAAAGAAAGAAAGAAAAGAAAGAAAGAAAGAAAGAGGTAACATATTGTTCTCTTTTTGTCACCAGAAGGTGGATTTTTCCTCCAACCAAATTTCTGAAATGTGTGACCTGTCGGCATACCGCACCCTCACTCAACTGATTTTGGACAGTATCCTTTGAATGTGAGAAGGGGAGGCCGTGGCGACTTGACCCATTGGAGAGGGTGTTACAGACTACACGGAGTGGCATCAGATAAGTGGTTTCCCTGAAGTGTGTGGCTCATGTAACTGAAAAAGAATCAATAGTCATAAAACGAGGAAGGATGTTTGTTTACCAAGGACCAATTCTATAGCCAAAGCTGGCCACAGGCTTCTCACCCCAGTAGGCAGAGAAGGATGGTCCTTGACATGAAAGTTGAGCTGGTTCTTGATTCTGCAATTAGGGAAGTTCTGTTAAATGAGCATGTGTCCTCAAATTTACTTAAACTTTTGCCTTATACAAATTCAGAGTCTAAAAATCTAGATTTGTCATTAGAAAAATTAATAGTTATTTTACTGAGGAGTTCATACTGCCGCCTTTAAGTAAAGCAAGGCATTCTAGTATGTTATTTGTTTATTTTGTTGGGGGATCAAACCTGAGACCTCACACATAATTGGTAAGTGCTCTACCACAGACCTCTGTCTCCAGCTAAAATGTATTTAACTAAAAACAGGTGAGAAGCCCAGTTTTTGATGTATCTTCAGGAACATACATGTGTACATTAAATGAACCGCTCTCCCAGTCAAACAGAATGCAGACTTCAACTTGTGGAACCTAAAAGGTTAACTGAAGATCTGTGCATCTAATGAGCTTGAATCTCTTCTTTACACCAGAGACTGCTGCTCTCTGGGCAATAAGGGAGAAGGCCCTCTGTTGCTCAGAAAGCATCTTTCTACCCCCTTGAGAATTTGGGGGGCAGAACGGAGCGTGAGTTGATTGCCCCTGAGTGTCTCATTCCAGGGATGAGGCAGCAGCTTGTTTGTAGTAAGTCTGGTGATCCTGGAGATGGACTTTGCAGAGAAAGTCTCTACTCATGTGGAATGCTAGAACACATCTCACTTCCTTTCAAACTCATGGATGAAAATAAGCAATAAGTGAGCTGTTAGATGGTGCTCATGAGTAGCCCAATAGAGATACCAGATAAAGAATTAAACAAATGTTTCCATGGCAAATCAGAGGCACACACAAACACTGCACCTTCTTATAGAGCCTTGGCTTGACCGTTGTGTGTAATGAATGTTGAGAGGGAGAGGGAGCGGGAGAGAGAGAGACAGAGACAGAGACAGAGACAGAGACAGAGAGACAGACAGAGAGAGACAGAGAGACAGAGAGAGAGAGAGAGAGAGAGAGAGAGAGAGAGAGAGAGAGAGAGAGAGAGAGAGAGAGAGAGAGAGAGGAGACAGAAGCCACCTGGTTTGGAAATCCACTCACTTACCACTCATCTCTGGCCATGTGGGAGAGTGCTGTCAGAGGGACCTATTTGAACCAAGTATCTGGACAATTTGAGTGCATGGTAAAACTAAGGATCTGGCTATACCCTAAAGCCCTGCCTGTCAGGGGTTCAGCTTGCAGAGGCCCTGCCTGCCCCTCACGGTGCCCAGAGAACAGAATGGAGCTGTGTATGCAGAAGGTTCACTTTGGAAAGATACTTCAGTGTGCAGCCCAGAATTGCCAAAGAAAATAACTCTCACATATTGTAGACTCAGAATAAGGGTTTCACTTTAAAACATTTCTATCATGAGGGTTTTAATTTTTAAAAAATAAACTTAGCTTTCCATGTACAAAGGTAAAATATTAGAACTTTGTAAATGTCAAATAATGTAGTCATGTCATAAAGAAAGGAATTCGGTTTTCTTTGTTGAATGTGTACATTAGATGTAGCAATTGAGTCTTATCATTGACACATAGAGAAAGTAATTATTATATCAAGAGTAATGGAAATCCAGAATGTGGGCATATAGAATATATTATAGCATTTCCACCTGTGTTTGAAAAACTACAGAGACAATTAGCCAAAACAAACTGCTCTTCTTTAGCTATTAATGAAATAAAATTACAGATAGTTTAATACTAGAAACTTTACAAATATAATTAACACTAGCAGATTCAGGAAAATAAGCCTTTTTTTCCCTAAAGAAACTCAATTGATGTGTAAAATGTTATGAGATTCAGCACTCTTTAAAATTTTTTATTACATTTTATAGTTTATTTTGTATGCATGCATGTTTGTGGGTGCACACAGGCAGCATCCACAAGGAGGTCCGAGGACAACTTTTGAAAGTTCGCTCACTCTTTCCACCATGGGGGTCTCAGGGGTCCAACTCAGATCATCAAGGCTTGGTGCTAGGCAGGCACCTTTAGGCATCTTTCCAGCTCCCAAATCTGGTACTCTTTCACAATACAACTCAGGAGACTAGAAAGAAAGAGTTTTCCCTGAGTATGAGCTCTACAAAAGTATTTTAAGCACACTAATCTGAAAAACGCCAGCTGCTGGTAAGCACGCAGAGCGAGATGATGTCTCTGGAACTTGTCTGTGCTTACGACATTGGCTCACCCACTTTGAGAGCACAGCTTTCAGTTCTCCTATAAAGGTGCTGCACTCACTATGACCTCTTCTGACACTTCTGACTTCTGCAATTGGTCACACACACCTGGAGGCTTGCAGAGGCGTGCTGATTGTGGTGTTGGCTGTAATGCCAAAAATGGAAACACACCAATTGCTCAATAAGAAAAGATGTAGATAAATTATGCTATTGTCAGGTGTTAGCAAATGATATAGGCATGGAAATGGTTGAAATATACCAATGGATTGCAATAGAGATGAATATTTAAGGATCTTAGACTGTATTTTATGTTTGTGAATATTCTGCCTGTATGTACACGCATGCTTGGTGCCTGGGGTCACCAGATCCCCTGGAACTAGAGAAACAGATGTTTTTAAGCCTCCATGTGAGTGCTGGGAATTGAACCTGGGTTCTCTGCAAGAACATTTCTAACTGATGAGCCATCTCTCGATCCCAGAGGTGGACTTTAATAAAAATAAAATAACCTATGTTTAAAGGGAAAGAGACAATTCAGTATAGTATTGTTGAAAAGCAGACACAACGATTGAACAGGAGATGTGTGTGTGTGTGTGTGTGTGTTAAAACTGAAGCTCTGAGTCTCATACATGCTAGGTTCTATAACAAAGTCAAATTCCTAGCTCCCTTATATTTCAAAAGGAAAGTATAAGCTTAATGGTTTGTTCTAAGAATTAAAAACTGAATTTTCTTTCATTTGTTTTTATTTATGTGTATGTGTGTGCATGTGTGTTCATGCATGTTTTTATTCATGTGTGTGTATGTGTGAGTGCATGTATGTCCATGCATGTTTTTATATATGTGTATGCATGTGCATGTGTGAGTGCATGTGTGTGCACGCATCTTGCTTTTCTGTATGTACAACACATGTGTACAGTGTCCACAGGGGCCAGAAGAGGGTGTTGTACCCCCTAGAACTGGAGTTATAGGCAGTTGTGAGCTGCCTAGTATGGGTGCTGGGAGCCAAACTCAGGTCCTCTGAAAGAGTAGTATACATTTTTTTCATTATTTTTTATTACATTTTTTAAAAGAAAGTATCTTGCTTCATTTGTCAATCCCAGCTCCCTCTCCCTCCCTTCCTCCCGCACTCCTCCACCATACCCCCAACCTCCTACCCCATCCCCACTTCCTTCCACGTAGGGGATATCCAGAGTGTCATTTCACTCAGGGCATGGCCTAGGCCCTCCCCCAAGAGTCCAGGCTGAGAGAGCATCCCTCTTTGTGGCATGGACACACAAAGTCCATTTATATGCTAGGGATAAATACTGATCTACTGCCCAGGGCCCCACAGGTTGTCCAGGCCTCCTCGCTGACTCCAGCATTCAGGGGGTCTGGATCTACATTTTTAACCATGAAACCATCTCTCCAGTCCCAAACTGTGGAAATTCTTATTTGAATCATTTGAAATAAACCAATTATGCTTGTAATATAAAATGAGTATAATAGATTATATTAATATCTTGAACTATGTTGTTAACTATAAGGTATCAATTTTTTAGTTTATCATATTAGGTTATCTCATCTTTCTTTGTGTAGATAATTGATGCTTAATTGATAATCATTCTAAATTACAAGGTGAGAAACTTAGTCAAGGTTAAGTTGATTTATTTATTGTTAAATAAAGATGTAGTTTATTCTTTACCTTCCAAGTGTTAATAGGTCATTAATAAATTAAAAACATGATTCATAGAATTTAATATCTAGACAGGGTTTTAGAGACCACCCAGTGTTAATTACGTACTTTATGGGAAAGGAACTGAAGACCCAGGGAAGGTCAACACCTTGTTGGGGCTACCTGGTAAACCACTGCCTGACGTTACTATTCTAGATCATTTTGGCTTGCCCACTCGGCAATCCACCGAGCGATTACTACTTTAGTAACACTGCCATTTAAGCTATATGCCTGTTTCATTTCTCCTTGTGACTCACTCCTGTGGCAGAGACCACTTTTTAAGGTGATAGAGATCTCTCAGGATTGGTTGTGATTAAAGCCATCATTGTGACTGTCCACTGAGAGAGCCCTGATGGATTTCGGCTTTACTTCTCAGTGACTGTTTTCTGTACACCCAAACCATATTTTATGATTGTAGACAAAAGAATAAGAACAAATGCCGAACTAGTGAATAATTCACGCCAAGCGTTTATGACCTGCTGACAGCATTGCCGGAATGTAAAAATATATTGTTGGCTTCCCTAGGCCCCAGCCGTAAAGTTATGCTTAAGTGCCACAGGGTTCCTTCACTTGGTTTCCATAACAATCTAAAATTCCACTGTAAATGATTTATTCACAAAAATGGTAAAACTTCAGAGCTGCAGATTTTGAGTTCTCAGAGCCTTTGTCCTGAAAGCCCTCTTTTAATATTATAATGCATCTAAGAGGATTAATCCAGGAAACTAATTCATCAAAAATAGTCTAGTGGTTTATCAGATTGTACTTCTTCTTATCAGAAACTCCCAAGACCTCAGAAAGAATGTGAAATAATACTGTTAGGAGGAAAGACAGGAAGCACTCCATGGAGAATCTTAAACTAAGAAGATGGGAGATTAGAGGATGAAGGCATTCTGGCTGGCATGTGTGGCTAGCTGGGACCTCGAGCTGCTCATGGCGCAGTCATGTGTGCTGACTGTAATCAGCACCAGCAGTGACCGATGATGTAGCTGTTGGAGTAAGAGGGGGAAGAAACATGGCAACGTAAAGACCGTTGTCATTTCTAGGAAGAGTATTCTAGTGCTCTTCAGATGCCCAAGCAATGGATGCTCAAATCCCTTATATAAGATGAGATAGATGCTATGTCAACTGTTGTTATGCCACGTTGTTAGGGAGTCGTGACAAGGGAAAAGTCTATATGACATCCATACAGTCGTAGGTTTTCGAATCAAGTGTTTTCATCATGTGGTTGATTGGTTGAATGAACGGGTGTGGGATCTATGCAGATGCAGGGTCGGTGTATCCTTTACTTATGAGCCTTAGTGATTTATGGTGCCTGAAAGCCCTTCACTGTCAAGGGGAGTGAGGCTTGGGAGGTGGGAGGAGATGGTAGGGAGTGAACAGCCTTCTCCACAAGGATGCTAGTTGAACTCCTTACTCTTAGGAAACACTGTGAGCAACCACAGTGGGATCTGCTGGAGCCCGGGCTGTGGTTGCAGTGAGGTACTATGTTTCCCCTCCTGTCTTTCCTCCCAGCTCCCGCTTCAGAAAGCGTGACTCCTAGCAGTGACAGGTAGAGAGGAAGCTGGGGGCACCAGGGGAGTTGAGGCAGCCTCTGGGGTCTCAGAAACAAGCTTCCAATCCCCGATGTCACTGTCATTGTTAGAACTCCTGACTGCAGCTCCCAGCCCTCGCCTGCTTCTGGCAGCTGCCCACCACATCCGTTCACTCTGCTGTGATTCTGAGCATCTTCCTCTTGGTTGGAATAGAGCTTCCAGGACACTGTGGTTTGTGAAGCAGGACTTGAACACTTTGTTCTCCCTGACACTGGACAGATGGCTATTTGAAGTTTCCATGGTTTAATCTTTGTTGCCAAAGATTGCTTGCCGCAAAGATAGTTCATACACAGCTGTGCGAGATAATTTAATCTCTCATTTCTCATATTTCATGTTCATTTTCCATGATAGCCCATATCTACAAAGAGCTGTCCTTTGTCTATTTCCAAGACCATTGTTTAGCCAGCCCAGAGAAAATGGGATCTGAAAGCCAGTGTTTGTGAATAAGTATCTGTTTGTACGGTTATTTTGGCAGAGACCTTACTCATAGGAGATTTGAAATGGCATACTGACCACCATAAAACTGTGTTTCTGCTCATGGGTGGAATCTGGAATCAGTAAGAGAAACCTAGAAATTTCTGCTACGTTTGGTAGCATGTCATTGTCTGGTTTTCTTAGTTACCTCTCTCCCTGGTCCAGCTCTTTTTGAATTCAATCCCAGCCTTGAGTCATCCATTTCCATGCTAAGAGAGGATATGATTCCTTGGCCACGTGCGATTGTAGTGTAGTGATGATGCGAGAGCCTTATGGATGTGAAGACTAGCTCATTCGCACCCTTTTGAAAACAATTAAACGTGTGCTTGGACAATTTCATGCACTATATAATGTATTCTGTCTATTCTCATCCCCACCCTCTCTCATTTCCGTCCCACTCCCTTCCCCACAGGTTCCTTTCTGACACTCATGTCTTTTTGTTTGTGACTCACTTAGTTTAAGAAAGACTGTGTGGTCATGGATTTAAAACTATTCATTGGAGCCTGGTAGCTCACCAGTGAGTACACAGTTCTCTGAAAATAGTGACCCCCCCAATTTACCAGTAGCCAGTAGTTTAAGAGAGAAGGGTTGGGATCCATGAGCCCCTTCTTTAGCTTGACTGTTGGACAAGGCCAGCCTTATGCATCCAAGTGCAGGCTTAAGCAGCCGTCGTGAGATGTGATTGTAATGGCTGTGTCACTCCCGGCAGACGATTTTGCAGCCCTTCCTCCTATCTTCCAACTCTTACTTTTTCTACCCCTTCTTCCATGACACTTACTCAGCATTAGAGGGGTGGTGGAAATGTTCTTTTTAGGGCTGTGCATGCAACCATCACTGACTTTCAGCCCCTTGAGCAGCCATGAGTCTCTGCTTGCAATCAGTCACACCAAAGAGGAACCTCTCTCACTAAGACTTGACATTTGCATTCGTTTCTTGGCATAGATGTAAACATTTTGAAGGAAGTTTGGGTCCATGTTAGTTTAGCTAAACAAGAATAGTTAAGTTCCTCTGGAGCCCATGACCCCCCAGCCTCAGGTTGTCGATCAAGCATGGAGTACCAGGCATGGATTCTCTCCTGGGAAGTGCACCTCAAATGCAGAGACAATTGATTACTCCCATAATCCTTGTGCCATTATTGTTCCAGTACCCCACCCAATTTTTATTTATTTTTCCCGATGACTTAACTCCCAACCTCATGCCAATTTGGTGTTATCACCATGTTACAAATGCAAAAATCCAATAGTGAAGGGTTGTGTAAGCCTGTTAAGGGTTTTAGATTTATCCTATTAAAATTTTACTTGTGTGTGTGTGTGTGTGTGTGTTTGTGTGAGTATTTGTACATGAGTACAGGTCCCACTGTAGGCCTGAAGAGGGCGTCACATTTCCTGGGTTTGGTGTTACGCTGATTGTGAATTGTCTGACACGGGTGTTAGCATCCAAACACGGGTCATCTGCAAAAGCAATACACACTTATAACCTGTAAGCTACCACTCCAGCTCCTCTATGAGAACTTTTTATTTTAATTAGACAGGACATCCAATCAACATTTTGAAATAATTAACCTGAATTTAGCATGGAAGGGACTCGAGGGCAGGAGTAATGGTTATTAAAGGAACCGACTGATGCTAAAGTTGAGTTAAGGAAGAACACGCAAAGACACGTTGAAAGCATCAATGCCCGGTCTTGGTGATTAGTTAGATGCTGTGAAGAACGTGAGAAAATGGTGGCATTACCGCTGCCTGGGAGGCAAAGCTGGGCTCTGGTGGAGCAGTGGCGTTCGTCCCTGGGAACTAGTCAGGCGGTTTGAGGACAGAGATGGCCTAGCCGAACACTTGGCTTTGGAATTGCTGTTTGGGCCGACTGCAAGCCTGGGCCACAAGACAAACTTTAAAAATGTGATTGGTAAGAACAGAAACAGCAGATGGTGATATTAGAGCAGACTTCTAGCTTCCCGTATTTGCACGGGGAAAAGAGAAGCCAATACGAGTAGGAAGAAAGGGCTGCCTACCCATGAGAAGGTGTTGGCCTTCATGCCACCCATTTGCTGTTGTGACGTCTCCAAGATGATAAAGCCCCTTCCACATTGCCTCTGGAGGGTGACCCTGCCTTCCAAACTCCTGAGAGAGGGGGGCCGCGTGAGTTACCCACGGAGATCATTAACTAGCCCAGAGAAGCACTGCTCTGAATTGCTGTTTTCTTCCATGGCATTAAGTGAGTCATGTGTGGATACAGATGCTACGCCTCTAAAGTTTTATAGAAGCAGCGTTTTATCCTGTATGAAAAACACATAAGACTTAGCATTCTATATGGGGCACATAATATTCTTTTATTTAAACTCTTGTCTGATTTTTCTAGTGATAATTTAACATTGAGTTTATTTTATACTTTTATTATTTTTGGCATGTGTGTGTGTGTGTGTGTGTGTGTGTGTGTGTGTGTTTCACCAAGGTCCTTGTGTGAAGGTCAAAGGACCATTTTTTAGGAGTTGATTCCCTTCTTCCACCATCTGGGACCTAGGGATTGACAGCAAGTACTTTTACCTGCTCAAGCATCTCCCTGACCCAGCACTGGTGTGTGTGTGTGTGTGTTTATTCTTTCCAAAGACTTTGAATAACATTTTCCTTAAACATAGTTGTCATATACAGACAACGAGATAGAAGAAATCAATGGGATAGAGAATTGCGTCTGCCTGACCCACCTTAGTCTGGCTGGCAACAAGATCACAACAATCAATGGCTTAGGAACCTTACCCATCAAAGTGCTTTGTTTGGTGAGTCCATCAAGACGCCATTTTTTTTAGAAGTAGTAGTTTTTGTTTAAGAAGTGTATGAATTATGACCACTTAGGATTATTTCTCAGCTCCTTATAGTGTCTGGTGTGTATACATGCTCCTGTGTGTATGTGATCAATAGTCCACGTTCAAGTAAAGCCAATTTCAAATTTGGTGTGCAAATTAGAACAATGTAGACAATTGGTCTCCTAGTCTGTGAAAGAAGGTGTATCTTAGCACGTCGTTTTTTAATATTGTATATCTCACTGGTGAGGCATAGGAAGCATGCTCACTGCTGCCTACACTTTAGCACCTGTAACTGGGCCACAAGATGTTTCCCAGGCAGCCCTGCTATACAAATGCACGCCTGTCTCCCAGTCTAGAAGTCATAAGTCGTGCTGAGAATAGCATAGCTCAGTCAGAAAGATTCCATCTGATTGCCATTTCCCAAGGAAAGTGCGTTGTTAAGCCTGGTGACATGTCAAGTAACCAAAACTCAAATCAAAGCTGAGACTGTTTGCTAACAAGTCAATAGGGTCCCAAGGATGCACGTAATATTTATAAATTAGAAGTAACATGTTACTAGTGTGTGTGAGGGTGCTAATGCTGTGTATATACAGGATTCTTTACTTTTCCCTTCCCTCCTAGCCTTAGCTGGCTCTTTGGCCTTAGGTGGGCTGGGAGCATTTCAATGAGGCTTGTATCTTACTAATGTTTTTGTCTCTCACAGGTGGCTGTTAAATGACATATGTGTACATTATTTTAACTTAAATTATTTTCTATTTTATGTCTTTGGGCGTTTTGCCTGCATGAATGTTTATGTACGACTTTCGTACCCTGTGCCCAGGAAGTCAAGAAGATGCCATAGGATCCCCTAGGAGTAGAGTCAGAGTTGTGAGCCACCATGCGGAAACTGGGAATCAAGCCTGGAAAAGCAGCCAGTGCTCTGAACTGCTGAGTCCTCTCCCTGGCCCTCTGAGCACACTATTTACACACGCATACACATTCTTTATCTAACCACAGAGCACTGGAGTCTGCTCTGTGATGGTGTTTCTGCCTCTTAAAGCTCCAAATACTTTCTGAAGACCCTTCCACCCTCCCTGGAATTCAGAGAGGATGGAGGGCCGCCCTTCCAGTAGCATGCAGAGAAAGGATTCAGGGTCCACCTGAGATTTTACATTTTCTGCGCTTCGGGAGCGACGATTATTATTAAAAATAGCACATTTCATTTTCATTCTGTGTTTCATTAGTCACCTAACCCTCACTGGCAGTAGCATTCTTGCTATTTTTTTCTGCCAATAAATGAAATAGGTTGTTCTGTTCCCTGTGCCCAGCACCCAAGATGAGCCAGAAAACACAGAATATGCAGTTACTCATTTTTCACTGAAATTCTAGATTGGAAAGTTGTCTTTTCCAAATTTAAATAACATTTATAACCAAAATGATACACATTTGCTTCATCTGTTTTTATTGACTTTATTTTTAATTCATGGAATCAGAAAAATCATTTGATTTAGCTATTGACAAGAATTCAGTTTCTAATATGGTAAGAAGAACAAACCATTTACTAATAATTTGCCTTCATCTTTTGTGGGACATGTAAAAGCTGGCAAGGGACCCTCCCAGCTTGGCCACAGGCCCCTCTATCCTTCTTAGAACACAGTGACAGTGCACTGCAAAGCCTGAACCTCACCTTGGTGGAGGAAAAGCCAGTTCAATTTCCCCTGCCAGACTGGTAGATGAGGAATGTTTCCTAATTTAGTTTACTTCAAACAACTCCTTTCTAAAAGTGGTTTTCCTGTCAGGCTGGAGGAAGCGTGTGCTGAAACTTCTTCATGTCCACACCCAGAAGCAAGCCTTCAGGTTCCCAGTGCAGGACAAAGGCCCGACCTCGCTGGCTTTCAATCAGAAATTCTGTGATTCTCAGCGTCTCTCAGCCTGATCTCTTTTATGACCACAGGCTAGCTAATTAAACTTTTCTATGCCCTGCTCTGCTCAGACCATCTACCACGTTGAAAGCCATCAGAGACACTGAAGAATATAACATCTGTCCAGCGTATAGAAAGTGCTTCACAGTCTTCTGGGGGGAAGCGTATTGTATATAAATTGGAAATGTGGGCGGTGTGTGAATGGGAGATTGAGCCCTCATTTCAATACATTAAATTGATATGGATAGGATGGTGAGCACAGCGTGGTCCCTTTCCTATTACTTTTTACTTTTTATAACTTTTTTGAACTTCGAACAGGAAAATTTGATTTTACTTTGGCGAATAAGGTTATGAGTTTTTTCCTTTTTTATTACTTTTTTTAAACATGTGGAGGTAAAAAGAATAGTATAATAAGCCCTCGTGGGCTATAACCCACCTTTAAAGATTATTAACATTCTATTATGATATTTTAAGGGACTATAGAATTATACTAGTGAGCACAAATCTGGCTTATTATTGAAATGAAGTTTTATGAAAAATAGGATGAAAATGAGTTTCTTGCTATTCAATGTGCTAATAAGCATTACCAGTGAAAATATTCAGATGAAAGGGAATACAAAATTTCAGTTCTTAAGTCGATATTGAAAGTTTTGAAATTTTTTTTGAGACAGGGTCTTCCATATAGTCCTGGCTGTTCTGAAATTCACTATGTAGACCAGGCTGGCTTTGAACTTTCAGAGATCTACCTGCCTCTGCATCACCAGACCTGGCCTGAAAGTTTTGAATGTTATAAGGATAAGTAAAACATACTATTAGCTGAAAATTTGAACTTACTCTTCATGATAATTTTGGCTCAAACGAAAGGTTGAAATTTACTGTGACATTTTCCTGTTCCTTAAGGCAAAAGGGCCAAGGAATGAAGCGTATGTCGGGAAATATTCAAAACTGAAAATTATTATTACTGTTATTGCCACGAGTGTGTAGAGTCTGAGAAAGAGGACAGTCATATGAGTATGGGTAACCCTCCTGTTCTCATTGTCCAAGAGATGCTTATACATGAATTATTGAAGAAGTAAGTTTGATTATCATTGTATAGTAAGCTATCCAGTTTTGATGGCATAACCATTGTTGTTAGCTAACAGTTCTGCACTCTGCTCTGGGTTGGGAGGCTGTTTCTCTGATGGGTTTGCTGGCATATTGGTTGGGTGGGGTTGACTTATCTGGATGCTTTGATGGCTAGATTTTCTATTAGTCTCAGAGTATTGACTCACAAGCAGCAGTCTATTTAGTTTCAACCCATGTGATTTCTGCTTGTCCAGATGACTTGTCCATAATAGAATGACTGGAACTCTCACATGGCATCTAGAGTTCCTAGGACCTGAAAGCAGAAGTGGCTTGGTTATCTTGAATCTTAGAATGAGAACTGACACATTTCTGTAATACTCTTGGCTATGGGAAGTTCTATAGGCTACCTTAGGTTAAAGAGCAGGTACTACACAAAAGTAGAAATAACCAGACTCTGCCAACTCAACCATCCCCACAGACTTTGAAAGATGACATCACTTCAGAATGTGTCTGGAAACTAAGTGTATGTGGGAGTTACAGTGTTGGTTTGCTGTCATTGTGCTAGAAGAATGCATTCAGGTCATGACTTAGAGACCAACATGAAGAATGCATTCAGGTCATGACTTAGAGACCAACATGAAGCTGTGCTGAAGTGCCAGGTGTGTGTCTTAGTGTCTTTTCCAGATGCATTGACAAACTACTGTGACAAAGGCAGCTTAAGTGGGAAAGGGTCTCTTCAGCTCACAGGTCTGGCTCACAGTCCATTCAAGCAAGGGAATCACAGCATCAGGGGCCAGAGAGAGCATGTCTCAGGGACTCGCAGAACTCTCAGAAGCAATGAGCGATGAATTAGAGCATGCATGTGTTCAACTCCTATTCTTTTTAAAAAATTATTATTTATTACATTTTTTTAAATTAGAAAAATTCTTGCTTCACACGTCAATCCCAGCTCCCTCTCCTTCCCCTCCTCCCACACCCCCCACCAACCCCCTCAGCCTCCCACTCTATCCCCACTGCCTTCCCCATAGGGGATATCCAGAGTCTGCCATTTCATTCAGGGCAGGTCCTAGGCCCTCCTCTAAGAGTCCAGGCTGAGAGAGCATCCCTCTTTGTGGTATGGACACACAAAGTCCATTCATATGCCAGGGATTATTGATCTACTGCCCAGGACCCCATAGGTTGTCCAGGTCTCTTCACTGACACACACATTCAGGGAGTCTGGATCAGTCCCATGCTGGATTCCCAGCTGTCCGTCTGGGGTCCAAGAGCTCCCCCTTGTTCAGGTTGGTTTCACCAGTCCAATTTTTATCCCTTTGCTCATCACTCCTCCCTCTCTGTCACTGGGTTCCACGGGTTCAGTTCAGTGTTTAGCTGTGGGTGTCTGCCTCTGTTTCCATCAGTCACTGGATGAAGGTCCTACGATGGCATATAGGGTAGTCGTCAAACTCATTATCAGGGATAGGCATTTAAGGCAGTCTCTCCACTATTGCTTAGTTTGCCAGTTGGTGTCATCTTTGTAGATTTCTAGAGATCTCACTGTTGCCATATTTCTCTTCAAACCTATAATGACTCCCTTTATTATAGTATTTCTCATCCTGTTCTCCCCTATTCCTCCCCAAACTTAACCTTCTTTTCTCCCCCATGACCTGCTCTCTCCTCCTCTTCTCCCCCTCTCTTCTTCCCAGCTCCCTCTCCCCTCCCCACCCCTGCTCACAAACTGCTCAGGAGATCTTGCCTCATTCCCTTTTAGGGTCCTCCCTGTTTCCCAGACTCTCTGGCAGTAGGATTATAGGCTGGCACTCCCCTGATCCATGTCTAAAATCCATATATGAGTGAGGACATACCATGATTGTCTTTTTGTGACTGGGTTACCTCACTCAGGATGGTTTCTTCTAGTGTCATGCGTTTGCCTGCAAATTTCAAGATTCTATTGTTTTTTCCGACTAAATAGTACTCCATTGTGTAAATGTACCACCTTTTCTCTGTCCACTCTTCAATTGAGGGGCATCTAGGTTGCTTCCAGGTTCTGGTTATAATAATGCTGCTATGAATATAGTGGAACAGACATCTTTGTTGTATGAATATGCATCTTTTGGATATATACCTAAGTGTGAATTGCTGGGTCTTGTGGTAGACTGATTCCCATTTTCCTGAGGAATCTCCATACTGATTTCCAAAGTGGCTGTACGAGTTGGGACTCCCACCAGCAGTGGAGGAATGGTCCCCTTTCTCCACATCCTCTCCAGCATAAATTGTCTTCGGTGTTTTTGATTTTAGCCATTCTGGCAGGAGTGAGATGGTATTTCAGAGTTGTTTTGATTTGCATTTCCCGGATGGCTAAGGATGTTGAGCACTTTCTCAAGTGTCTCTCAGCCACTTTAGACTCCTCTATTGAAACTTCTCTATTTAGTTCTGTACCGGGCATGCACCACCAATGCCCAACTTCAACTCCCATTCTTCAGTCTTACACATTTCAGAATCCTTTGCCTAGAGAATAGTGGTACCCACAGTGGGTGGGGCTTCCCACCCCAGTCTTTATAATCCATCTCAGGGATGCCCAAAGGCCAACCCGTCTCACCAATCCTTTGTTGAGATTCCCTTCTCAGGCAATATGTTTGTAGCAAAACTTAATGGAAAAAAAGAGGCTCTGAGTTTTCAAGAGAGCAAGGAGGGGCACATGGGAGGTTTGGGAGGAACAAAGGGGAAGAAGGGAATGACACAATTATGTTATAACCTCAAAAAATTAATGAAGTAACTTGAAAGTCAAAGGACTAACATCATAGTATGCATTGTCAAAAGCTTCTATTACTTACTGTTGGACTTTCCTACTGACTTGAAAGTTCAACCCGAAGATGAAAATATTAAAATATTAATGAAAGCACTGTATCAGAGAAAAGCTAGGATTTCCTCCTTGGATATCTGTGTAGACATTTAGATGTGTGGGGATGGGGATGGGGAAAGAACAACTTATTGTTTTGTTTTTGTTTTTTAAAGAATTTGGGACCATGTCCAAACATGAGGGTTTTCCACTATACATCTTCTTGCATGTTGCTTTAAATCACAAACTGTATTTTATCCATTTTAGAGCCACAACCAGATTGAGACCATCACAGGCCTGGAGGAACTGAAAGCCTTGCAGAAGCTGGATCTATCCTACAATCAGATCAGTAGCCTCCAGGGCTTGGAGAACCACGACCTCCTGGAAGTGATCAGCCTAGAGGGTAACAAGGTGGGAATTGCAGGGCGTGGCTTCCATGGCTCTGGGAAGTGAGCACACTGGCCAGGCAGCACAAAGTTCCTGTACTGGCTTCTCAAGGATTACACAGAATACCCTCTTTTTTGTTTGTTTGTTTGTTTTTGAGGTTACATTTATATATGTATTCATTTATATATGTAATAATAATAATTAAAGAAAAGGGGGCCATGAATATGAGAGTGAGCAATGATGGGATATAGGAAGAGTTGGAGAGAGGAGAGGAAGGGGAAATGATGTAATTATATTTTAATATTTTTAAATGTCAAAAAAATTGGAAAAAAGTTTGGAGTGAAAGACCCCCAGCATGGGGAGACTCTCACTCAAGTCTTGGGATAAGCCGATGCCCCAATAATTCAAGAGAGATCGTTCTTGATGCAAGCACACGAGGTTTATTCGGAGAACCAGTGCACTGGGGCTGAGCTCATGACCATCACAGGGGCAGAGGAGTTCAACTCCCAGTAGCTGCAGATGGTTGGGGGGGGGCTAGAGGGGAAAACCATAAAGAATGGGGGAGTTTAGGCAAACACCATAAAGAATGGGGAAGTTAGGTGATAGCTCATGCCTTAACGGGAAGGTTATAGGTTATCTCGAGCAAGCATTCTTGGGGCATTGTACAGTTAAACATTGAGCAGAGTACCAGATGCATCAGGAATGTGGTGAGCTAGTTCTGGATTAGAGAATGTTATCTTTTAAGGTTTATCTTGAGGTCACTGGTTTCTTTGGAGAGGGCAGAAGAACAAGTTACTCTGTGCTGGGCTAGTTGCTAGGGGTCTAAAAATGTTGAGTTGGGGTCTCTCAGGAGTCAGGGCAAATGGGGAAGAATGGGGGAGGCAAATTAATAAGGACAGAAGATAGTGACACATGGAAAATCAATAAAACTAAGTAATAAAAGTCCTATACTTAGGGTTAATATTGCTCTTGTTTATAAAAATACCTTCTGATCGTGCGGTGGGTGGTGCATGACTTTAATCCCAGCACTCAGGAGGCAGAGGCAGGTGGATCTCTGTGAGTCTGAGGCCAGCCTGGTCTTCAAAGAGAGTTCCAGGACAGTCTCCAAACCTACAGAGAAACCCTGTCTAGTGCTGTTCTAGCAAACTTTCTGGGGCAGTTCTTAGAGTATGACTTTTTGAATTCTTAATTACAGTGTTTTAAAGGTTCAAGCTGTCATCTTGTGTGTGATTTTCTAAAGTCGTGTTCATGCAACATTTTCTGTAGAAAGAAAGCATCCAGAATATTCAAAATGTCCAAGCAAGAAGAGACAAAAGGACATCCACAGCCTGATGTCTCCTCTTGTTTACGCTCAGAGAAAAGGGATTGTTGGTGGGAGAGGCTTAGGGGAGATGCTGCTGAAAAGGGTTCAAAGCTTCAGCTAGATAGAGGCTAGGCAGAGGGATGCATGCAAAGATCTATTCAGTACCACTAACTGGAGTTAATAATGTAGTGGGGGATAGTTTTTGGGGGGTGGATGTTGAGACAGGATCTCAAGTAGCCTAAGTTGGCCTTGAACTTGCTATAGTCAAGGCCAGCCTTGCGCCATTGGTCGTCCTGCCTCTACCTCCAAAGTGCTAGAATTTATAGATATGAGCAGCACTAGTCCACAATAGTGGTCTTGAAAAATGCTAAGAATGAGTTTTTAATCTTCTTACCACAAATATGATAACCTTTAGGAAATAATACATTATTAGCTGTATTTAGTCTTTTATATATGTGTGTGTGTGTGTGTACACATACATATATTAAATTACATGTTAAATATATATATAGTTGTATCTGTAATTTAATAAATTTAAATGCCACAGGAAAGGCTTAACGATAAAAATAAGCAAATTATAAAGAGACATAGAAGTGATTCCTTATATCCTGCTGGTAGCAACAGTGTCTCTTCAGTGGGTTGGGGAATGAATTTGTTTGCATATCTGGCTTAATCTATCTTTTACTTTCAAAATGATATTCATATTCTGTCTCTGTCTCTGTCTTTCTGTGGTACTTGAGACTGAACCCAGAACCTTTTGAATGGTCTACCACCAAGCTATATCTTGAACCCCCAATTTAATTAATTTACTTAATCATTCCTTCCTCCCTCCCTCCTAATAATTTAAAAGAAGTAATAGCAATGGTGATAAACAATTGTAGTAGATAAGAACCCAGGGCTTGGCCTTCAGCAGTAGGTGTTGGATAATAACTGAGAACATGAGGTTTGGATGTTGCCATGGGTATAATGTAAAGTTACTAGCACTAATAAAAGGGAAAAAGAAACAGGAAATGTTAACTCTAATAATACATATTACTTAACTAGGTATGTCTGAAATGCATTTTTAGCATATAATCTACATATGAAGTTATTATTGAGTTGTTTTGCCTCCTGGACTTTTGACACTGGGTGTTTATGTTACAGTTGGGAGTGCATCTCATTTCATTTAGTCAGAATGATAGCCTAGGATCACCTTACACATAGCGTACCACACCCTTGCCTTTCAAGTCACTTTCCAAACTGCTTTGGAAAAAGGTGAAAGAAAAGGAGGTTAAATGAAGAAAGGAGTTTATAATTTTCAAATGTTCGAGACTGTTTTGTAAAAAAGTGGCCACATGCCCTACAGGGAACTCCTTTGACAAATCAGTCTTTGACAGTAACACAATTCCCTGGTTCCCCACTGGGCATGTTGGGAGTAACCTACAGTCCTTTGAAATGCTATTTGAACCATCTGAAGAGTCCCTAAGGGGTTTCTTTAGGATAGTTGAGAATTTTTTTGATTCAGGGATGGAAGATGTGTTTGTAAAGGGAGCACCTCATAGGAATGCTGCTTCCTCTATGATTAAATTTGATGTTAGGAATGCTGTTTTCTTGGTAGCAATGTCATCAGTGTTACTTCTGTTACACACTTGTACATGCCTGCCCTTTGCCAGAGTTTGCTGATTAGGAGGGGACCTCTGCCATCTTCCACTCTGCAGTCCCTGTGATGGTCTAAATCATTGACGCAAACTTTCAACTCTAGTACAGCCTCCACACTCCCTGCCAGCAGTGGAATGTTTGTCAGGGCTAACTCAGGGAATGCTATGCTGCTTCTGGATCTTGGCGCTGTACCTCAGAGATTTTGTGTATATTGGGAGGTAGCTGTTTTTTGAGACAGTCTTTCTGTGTACCCCTGGCTGTTCTGGAACTTTCTTTGTAGTCTAAGCTTGCCTCAAACTCATAGATCCACTTGCCTCTGGGATTAAAGGCATGTGCCATCATGCTGGGTTTATGCCTTAGAATTTAATATCGGTACTTCTTGCTCACTTTTGTAAGGAGTAACACTGTAATACTCATAAAACAACACAGTCAAGGAAAGAACTTCAGTTCTGAGTAACCACAGCACTCTGTACATTCTCCTTGATGTGGACAGAGGTGGTGACAGCTAAGCATTGTTTTTGCGTGCTTTAGAGGGGGGGTGTTCTATAGTGAAGGATTTCTTGCCTTTGTTGTTCAGCAATACACTCTTTTTAATGTCTCAAGCAATGAAATGACATTACCCTAACTTTCTTGAATCCTGGTTCATACTCTTGTCCATGTGTATAAACAAAAAGAATTTGTGGGAGTTGACTGCTAAGTGAACTTGAGCTCCCTGTGGATTTATATTTGTTAAACTTGAAAAGAGGAACATTGGTTACATGATCTTGGGGGCTCCTGTGTTACACAGGGACCAACACTGAATCAGAGACAGGCAGGGCTGGGTTATTGAAGATGTTGGTGTGATCACATAATGGTTATAGTTAGTCTCCATTCTCCTGCCATTGGAAACAAGTAAGAAGGAGGCCCCCTTGGAGGCTGTGGTCTCTACATCCCAAAGTGCCAGCCAAGGCTAGGTAGCCTGAGCTGCTATCCAGATCCAAAGAAATGGAAATGGAAACTGTCCATGGTTTTCTGCAGATGTTAAGGGTATTCACCTGTAGCCTTGGCTCTTAAGCTGCTTTATTGCTTCTTCAGTTCTTTTTGAGCTTTCAGGTCAAGACTAACATGACTTTCCCTTTAGTCATGGCCCTTACTTAATGCCTACTCCACGACGGCACGCTTGGCCTACTTCTCTTAACCTACTCCATGGAGCTGGGGTGAGCCTGCTGAAGGAGTCAAGGCCTTGACTGAGGTCATTAGGCCAGCAGGAGGCTCAGCTGGTTCCCTCCTGGGTGAGAAAAGGGAAGTGGGCATGAAGATCAGCTCAGTTGTGAGAGTCTCCAGTGAGGCACAAGCAGTAAAGAGGAAGGAAGATCCCAGAGAGCCCTCTGGGGTAGAAATCGTGAGGCAGCGAGGAGGTAGTGGATGGGGAGACGGTGAAGACAGCTTGGGTCACTGTCAGGTGACAAGGGTGACTGGATGATAGTGGTGCTAACCAACACCATGGTGAGGCATGGATGTTAACTCTAAATGTTATAGAGGCAGGGTCCCACTCCAATGGTGCTGGTGTGCAGGGAACTGCACTATGCCATCTCTCTCTTGGGAGCTAACCCTGTGAGGTGGAATGGGTTGAAATGTGATATGCCCAATCCCTATCTGCCTCCAGAAACTATGAATGCACCCTTGTTTAGAAAAGGGTTTCTACAGATGAGGTTAATGATCTCAAGATGAGGTCATTCTGGAATTAGGAAGACCTGAAAGCCAGTGTTCTTGTAAGAGACGGAAGGGGAGAAAACAGACACAGAAGCCAGGGTTATGTTGCTTTACGTCAAGACTGCTGGCTGTACCGGAAGCTGCAAGAAGCTAGGAAGATTCCCTTCTAGAGTCCTCTGGGGAGTCACAGGGTTGCTGGCCCTTGAGTGCCACCTCATCTTCAGAGCCGTAAGACTTAGCTCCTCTTGTTTCCAGTCTCCTAGCTCTGGGTTTGTCATGGACCCTCCAAGGTTTGTATAGTGTGGTTCTTGTGTCTGCAGAAAGGAGGGGAATCTCAGAGTTATTCTTAACTTTGATGTCTTGTTATTTCTGATTTTTGTGTTTAAATAAA